AGGCCTGACTCATAGGGCCCCTCGCTGTCAGAGTCTGATAGCAGCCTACCAAGCCACAACAGTAAGTGATCCACCCCAATCTAGGATTATGATGAAAAGGGGGAAAGTATCTGTATGCCAAAATAAAAAAAAAACAATTCCACTTTGGATCATTTAAAGGAAAGAACATTATTTTCATAGGTTTTGCTGAGTGCTAGTTCAACAAATGTTTTAAAGTGGAATTAAGGTACTACCTGTAACTATAAAGATAACAAGGTTTACAGTTTAAATTCTAAGAATTGAAATATTAGTTTGTGACTCTTTTTCTATATATAGAATAATTATTATTTCTGTCTTCTTTTACAAAGATTAACTTATTATTTGAACTAAAACAAAATATAGCATTGACAAAATTTGCATATCAGCAACCTGTTCTGTCTTGAAAGTTTTGAATAAGACATGTCTGAGTATATTAATCATAATTTAAGCTGGAGTTGGACTATTACTTTAAAGAATGAGTGCAACATCTAGGTGTCTCTGACAAATTGATTAATAAAGAAGCCCATATCCATCACATAGCCAGCCACTTTATATACATGTCGAGTTCTGCTTTCACTTCACAAAAATGATACTATTGTAAAATATAAATATAAATATATGTAAAATATAAAAATTCACTGGGAAAATAGGAATCTTTAATTATAGTGATTGTTGTTTTGAATCATTAATTTTAGTGATTACTAAAATTCAATATGAAAGGTCTCTACATATCTACAAATGTATATTTGGGTAAAAGCTAGCAGTATTGTTAATAGTAGGAGCCATTTATGACTGAATCTCAAACAACATGGCCTGATTCTTTTGTCCAAAGTCTATAAATGTTCCACACTGCACTGAGGTGAAATAGGGTTAGGTTTTCAGATTTCAAATGAAACTTTAATATGTTGAAATTTATGAGAAATCATAAGATTTATTTTGTGCTGGGAAATTCTTAATATCTGTCATATCATTTCTTCACATGGCACACTGAACCATAGTAACCCATATTAATGTATTAATGTAATTAATGTTTTTTTTATTAGAGGAAAGAAGAATGGGGGGGAGGAAAGGGAATATTAATAAGCAGTAATGTGTATTACATTCATGTGTTTGGCAATGTATTATGACATAAATTTTAAAACTGTGGGAATTTTAAATAATACAGAAATGGACAACTCTTTAGTCTTGTATCCTTCCATTATACATAACTATATGAACAAATGCATAGCATTGGAAAAATCTAACTAAACATCTTTAGATCAAGCACATTGAGTGATATCATTCATCTTATAGCAGTGACTCTTATTGCAAATCACAATACTTGACCCATTGTGACAAGTGTTTCTGAGTCTGCTTCATTCATATCTATCTTAGAGGAGAGGACAATCAGAATAATCAAACTGTTAAAGAAACTGTTTATATCTCTCAGAATATTGCAATATCAAAAATGTTATTAATATAAAATGATTTTAATAAATTTATTGCTAGTCTATTTGCATACTTTAATAAGAACAGCATGGCTTAAATTTTTGAATGAGGAAGATAACAGATCTTGGTCAAAAGAATGGAGACAAGGACTGAATTAGTAATACATTAATATACATACAGTAGTTATAGATAAGTAGAGTTCACTTGAAGTTCACTGAAATATAAATGCATTTATGAAGTTATTTGGAATATGAATGTGTTTGCCATTTCATAAGTAAGAACACGAAGTAGTCCTGTTCCTGTATTTGTAGAGCATTCCACATGTGGAAATAATCTTAGAGGAATCGGGATTTTCTTTCCTGGAATACACTAAGGGTTCCTGACCAAGGAGAATTTAATCAATAAGCATGAACTATTCTCATATATATCTTGAATGCACAAGGAAGTTTATTAAAACCTATCTATGGAGCTAGTTTGTAGCAAGGTATGTAGACAAGGATAAATCGATACCTGATGGAGTAAAATAAGACCTGATCTTATGATCTAAAGAACAGGAAAACAATGTAAAGCCACATTCAAGCATCATCTAAACTTTAATTCCCTGCAGATATTATCCAGATGATTGAAGATTTTCCTGTAACATTTCAGCATTCAATACAAATGTCTGCAAGAGAAAAGCTAGCCCAGCTTATCTCCTGCATTCATTGAAATGAAAGTCTGCTTGGGAAAAAAAGTCATTATAGAAATGTGGTAATTCCAAACACCTGAACAGATTGAAAATGAACAGTATGTATGATTTCAATGTGTACTCCCTTTGAGTAGGATGAAACTAAAACAAATTTCTTTATTATAAAATCTTATAGCTTTTGTTGGTAGCTTTTGAAACAGCTTCCCAACAATTTTGTTTACTTTTGGTTGACTTTTACATTAAGTTCTTTATTGTATACATAGATGAGAACAAAGGCATCTGCAATTGCATTTCATTTTTTAATGAGATGTTTTTAAATTATGACTAGTATGTGGTTCACACTTGTTTTTAAAAATGCACAAAATACAAAAACGTCTATAGAGATATAAAACATGTTATATTATTGGCCATGTTGTAGTGTGTAATAATATTTCTATTTTTAGACTGGAAAAGGCATATTGAGTACAAGCCTGGTTCTGGAAGCTTACCTTTATTTCCCATTATTCACCTGGAGACATGTGATGGACCAGTTTCTTCTATCCATGCAACTGTTGAGCTTCAGACCAACTATATTGGAAAAGGCTGTGATCGCGAGACATATTCTGAGAAATCTCTGCAGAAATTATGTGGTATATATCAATGTATATATAATTCTGGCTGATAGTGACAGTGCTGATATTTATGTAGAAACTAAAAGGCGCATTTCTTTCTGTTAATATTCAATATGGGTACAAGGACAACATGTCTGCAATTAGCAGGCCTGATGTGAATAATAAGTGCATATATAATTCAAATAAACCATATTCTGAAAAAAATGAATTTGCTGTTATGAAGTCAGCAAAAAAATCTTATTTTAAAGTATTTGCTGCATTTTTGTGAGTAGAAATTGATCCTTTTCAACATCTGTATATTAAGGAAAATAGGTCATTTATTTATGTAGAAGGATACAAATGACCATATATCCAGCTTTTTAACTAATTAGTACAATTCTTTTACTGGGGTTCTGCAAGGATGATAGGAAGACTCTTTAGGCTTTTTAAAATAATTTTAAAAGTTTGAAGAAGAAAATTATTGATTACTAGATTGACAAATAGCCATAATCCATATTTAACTATATGAAGACAATGATTATATAGTTCAAAGGTTTTTTTATAAATTAAAACATAACTAAAATGGGGCTACTGGTCTATCTAGTATAGCCTCTTGTCATTCTGGCTACAAACTTACTTAGTCCTCTTGCTGCCACTAATACTCTTTTAATGGACAAGAATTAAGCCTGGGAAGATTAAATGCAAAAAAAGTCTGTTATCATTAAAATGATACAATGAAAGGTAATCCTGGCTTTCATACCCTGACTTTAGATAACAGCTTTCTCATTAGTGTCTCATCAATCTCTTCATTGTATGTCACCCACAGGAGCATCTTCAGGTGCCATTGACCTATTACCAACACACAGCACTACAAATAACTGGACAGCTGGTCTTCTGATGGACAGCAATGATATGGTTTTTAAATTTGATGGAAAACAAGGTGCCAAAATTCCTGATGGAATAGTACCAAAGAATCTAACTGATCACTTTACCATCACCATGTGGATGAAACATGGCCCAAGTCCAGGATTAAGAGCAGAGAAAGAAACTATTTTGTGTAATTCTGATAAGACAGGTAATTCAAAATCTTCCTTCATTCTTCTTTCAAATTTAAATGTTCAATACAAGCAGATATTGAAAAATAAAAAACTCTTACAAGAATTAGCCTCAAGTTCTTTTTTGCACTGAATCAAGTATTGATTTGTAATAATTTAATTTCAAATTAATTGTATAATCTGATTTTAATAATTCATTACACATGCCAATATATTTCTCATCTTGGTCTATTGTTTTTTAGAAATGAATCGACACCATTATGCACTTTATGTGCATAATTGTCGACTAGTGTTTTTGTTACGGAAAGATTTTGACCAAGCTGATACCTTCCGTCCTGCAGAATTTCACTGGAAGCTTGACCAGGTACATAAATTAGCTTTTATTATAATAATTACCTAAAAATTCTCCCATAGTGTTACATGAAGAATGTATCCATACAGTAGACTCTAAACCTGCATTTACCAATCTGAAATTTCTAGGTCCTAAAGTTCAATATTCTAGAGAGCCCCAGGTTTGGGAAGGCTACACTGAACATTTTTCTACTCCAGATAATAGTATCTAGTCTTAAGTAAGTCATGAATCATGACTGAGTGACTACTCTCCTGGACGTTGTTGAAGTACATTAGCCAAAATAATTTTAATTAATGAATGTTAAGAGTCAAGTATAACTTGAGAAAATAAAATTCTACCACTAAATTGGAGGCTCTGCTTAAACATTAAATTATTCCTGTTTGTACCAAACTGTAGTCTTCCACCATTTTTTTCTTTCCTACAAGTTTTTCAGAATACCTATGTCAACTAAGCTAAATAATACTTGTTTTGCGAATTAAAAATGTATTCACCATCCAAGTCAATTTAGAGAAGCAGTTCTGAAGATTCCTTCAACTTCTCGATCAGAAAGTTTACAGAATTTTAAATTTGAAGCAGCAGCTGAATTGAAAGCTCAGCTGTTCAGTGCCAGAACAGTCTCCAGGAACTTCAAAAGCAGTGTAACTTCTAGGCTGCAGAACTGATCCTGGAAGGACCCAGCCCATGCATGTGGAAGTGATCTGAGATTACAATGGGTATTTTCAGAAACTTTATTTAGCTGAATCTTTCAGCACATTTATTCCATAGGGATGCCACACTGAACAAAGTGTTAAAGGTTGTGGCAACTCTAGTGAAAATTTATAATAAAGAAATATTTTCAGTCTTCTCGAACACCTGTGAGGTGCAGAAAACCTTTTTTCTCAGCTGATTACTTATGATAGCCATGGGACCTCATGCATGTGGAGAGTTGGTACTGAAGAAGGTTAATACAGTGCAATGTAATAAATCTTATCAAATGGATAGATATTAAAAGTTTGAACACTTTGCAATTGAATTAAAGAAATGCTCGGAGCTTGCATGAGTGATAATATCTCTTTGCTATTCATTAAGGAGACGAGTGCTATCAAACATCTGTGCAAGGCATAAGAAAAGATGTTATTTTTTTAAAAATCACCTTATGGCTTTAATATATAGTTGTTTTTTAAAAAGGTGTTTTTTTAAGTAATACCGATCTAAAATAGGCTGCCTTAGTGAATTGCTGAGAACTGTTTTCAAGAGGTCCAAAACACTTCCAAATCAGTTTTGAAATTTTGTATCAGTTGACAAGGGAACTTATTCCAAAGATACAAAAAAATAAACTAGAAAGTAAAAAGTTTTGCTATGACAATGTTCCTAAACTAGAATGGGATTCCATCAGAAAAAAATCCCAATTTTCTACATTTATATTTAGTTTTGAAAACCTTTTTGTATATATTACAAAATAAATCTAATTTGTAATTAATTTTGGAAATCTTTTTGTATACATTCATCAGTTCACTAAAATTTATATAGATGCTTAGAATGTTAACAAAAATGATGGAAGTGATTATATAACAAAAAAAGTTTCATTTCAAAACTATTTTGTTTTTTAAAAAACACCTTTTTACTTATTATACCCACATTTTTATATAGTGGATTGCAGTTAGCCTGATTTTTTAAAAACCAACAAAACATTAAGAATCATCATATGAATGCAGAATGCTACAAGTAGCTGTAAAGCGGATCCTCCCAACATATGGTTATATGACCATGGAGTGACATGATCATTTATGATGGCTTAGAGTGCTTTATGAGATATAAAGCACTTTCCATAGTCATCCTAACTTCGAACTGTTGTAAAAGCAACAACTCCCTGTGTCATTCAATCAGTTTGGTTAATTGAAATTGCAAGATAACTAGCAGAAGTCTTTTTTGTATTGAATCAATTCTTTATTTCAATTTTCATACATTACAGTAATGCTTATTTGAGAGTCATTACAGATTAATTAGTGATTGTGCCTACAATTCTATACTCTCCTAGAAATAGTAGGGTAATTAATAATTTAATTAAGAAAACTATACTGCACAGCATTAGTTGATTTTATGTGTTCACTGAATATAGTGTACAAGATATTATTTACAATCTATATTTGAAGATGAATGTATAGTACTTAATACAGTAAGTCCATACAATGTAGCTTATGTTAGATCGGGTAAAGGAAAGGCACACTCAAGCTTAGGCAGCAACAGCTCTTTATTAACTCTGAAACAACTATGTACAATCCAGCGAAGGTTCAGTCTGACAGCAATCCTTTTATAGGGAACTGTCATACCCTTCGACCAATCAGGTTGAATCTCTGTTCCCGCCGGAACAGAGGACCTTGGTGTAAACCATTGTAACTGATTCTGGTATCTAACAGCTTCCTTATAAGAGAAACTGATAAATTGACTCCAAAATTCTTGTTATGAATGAATGAAATGAAGCGGAGAAGAATAAGAACTGCTTTACTCTGTCAGCCTTTCTGCTTGTTGTTGGCTAGATTTAGAAGGATTTAGTTTTAGCGAAAATATATTTTCCTTCTGCATGTATTTCTTTTGCTGTTTTACTAGGCCCAACAGTTTATTTAAAAAAATAAAAACAATGATTAAGTGTCAATATACTGATTATTAAATAACCTTGTTCTGTATATTTATTGGGATATTCAAAAAATCTAAAATAAACATTTACTTAATGGTTTTATATATTTAACAAATTGTATATATCGGGTTAGGGTTAAGGTTAGATGATATGAATATGTGTATTACAATGAAATAATATTTTATGAATTCCTTTAATTTAATTTAATTTAAAAGGTGGCAAAAAGAATATATAAAATGAGCTATTCTAGCATAGAATCACCTGAATGCCTAGTTATTTTATGTGATAAGATAATAACAATTTATTTTAATAAATTCATTGTTAGGTTTTATTTCTCAGTTGAAATCATTGCTATGCCATTCATATTTTGAGTGATGTTTGTTACATAAAATGACTAAATTATTCGACAGTTTCAACTATGCTTCATTCTAAAATCTCATTCCAATTCCAGTTCTATGTCTGGATCAGGCTGTCATGAACTCCTGAATAAACATCTCTATAAAAAATGCATTTAACCATATTTGCTGTTTCTAAGAGACTAGGAATCCCAAATCAAAATATTTTTCCAGTCATGTCACCCTTTTCATCTTCTGCAGCACAACTCTATTTATCCTTAACCTGCATAATAACTGTCTGTGGCAGATTGCTACTTACATTCTATGCATTTCTGCTCTTACATTCAGAAGAATCTATCACGTTTGGCTGGAATTTTCCAGACATCAACTGAGATCTGAAACAAAGTTTCAGGGGCACACAAGTCTATGCAAAATATTGACAACCCTTTGGTGACTCACAAGAAAACTATAGATCACAGTGCCAAAGTTCAGAGGCAAAATCATGCTAGAAATCATTTTCTAGCATGATTTCCCCCATTTTGTTAATAAATTTTTGTTCTTCAAATAACGTATCTCCAAGTCAAAAGGAAAAGAACATTTACAATATTCTGTTTAGTCTTTCAGAAACAAATTTAAATTTAAAATGTACCATGGCTGAAAAAAAAAGTTTTATCCCTGCATTGGAATCCTTTTCCATATTTCCTAATAGTTTGACATGGCCAAAAAAATGTAGCCCCTGCAATGTGGACTAAAGTAAGCCAGAAAAATATATTATGAGTTTCCATTTGACTATGTGTATCATTGACATAGCTACCATAATTGATAATTTTATTGTATGAGTATTTTATACAGAATGTTATGGCTATTTGACCCAATTCTTGCTCTTAGATATTGGAGTCCTCAGGATGATTAGGGCAATGTCTATTTAGTCTGTAAATACTTCATTATCTCTAGGTCCTTCTTAAATTTCTGCCCCATAGTATTGTATCCATACTATTAATAATCAATTTGAAATGCTAGTATATTTTTACATTTTAGTGATTCTATGTACTGTTTTAACCATTTGTGTGCTGTTGTTTAGCATTATATAATTATAAACCTCTTACATAAATGTTTATAGTTGTATTCATAGCTGATTTTGAAATCCTACACATAATCTCACAAAAAAACATATATGCATATAGTACTTGGTCCTCTGCTTTTATATTTATGTTAGGACCTTAAATTCTACCGTAGTTATTCTTATAGTACATGTTATTTAATAGAATGGTTTTAATATTAGTGTTGATTATAAATCTTGATGGTGAATGACCAAAATGAAGGATGGATGGATGGATGAATTTGATTATACAAAAAGGGGACATGGAGCCATGTGTGTGTGTGTATGTGTGCGCGCGCATACTCGTGTGTTTACACAAATATCTATCACATCCCCATCACTATTTGAATATATAAAGGACTAGGAACAATCATACATCTGTCCTAACATTCTGATGTGAAGAAAGTTCTAACTTTATATTTTTAATTGAATTCAGTTAAGTTTATATTTTTAACTGAATTAAAGTTCCCAATTTTAAAAGGAAATAGAAATAGGCATAGCAGCCTGTAGATGTATGAGTGACTTTTTTCCCTCCTCTCTTCTTCGCTTCCTTCTCCCTAACTTTCAAACGATATCTGGACATTAGCATTGATTCCAATCTACGTTTAAAGAAAAACTTGATTTTATTTTTGGAAACCTAAATCAAGGTTTCCTGCTTCTAGAACCTATGAACTTTGTAAGCAAGATGAGGTGATAAGATGATAATATGCAGTACTAATTATAGAGCTGCTTCTTTTGAAGTTCTATTTAAGCAAAGCTTTAAATATGTATCTCAAAATCCTGTTCAAGTGAAATGCAAGACTGTATAAATCCTTAAAAGACATACTTCGTCATGCTTGGAAGCACGCACAATTTGTCCTTCAGTTTTTAAAGCACATGTTCCCAGGCTTCCATTAAGGATATCAGCAGTCTACGATCTAAAGAAAAGTGTTTCATACCACTTTTAAAGGTTCTACTACTTACTAGGAAGAACAGTAAAATTAACTGACCTATATACTTTTTAAATTTAAGATTATTGTAGTTAACTTGACTTTAATATAAATTGCTAAG